CATGAACCACAAGAAACGGAAATTGAGGCCAGGGCTGAATCAGGCTCTAGAGCTGCTCCCATACATTAAACCTTGGGCACATCTGATCGCCAGGCTCTCCTGAGATGACTCCTTCCTGAGCTCTAGCTCCCTGCCTAGCAGAAACACTAATTCCCTGACAACTTCACAGTGGGGCCGTGCTGTCAGAGCAACAGTGTGTCTCGGTGACACAACGTGGTGGATGTCAGAACTGCCAGACACTGAGTGTGGATCAGGACAGAAAAACTCAGGTCTTCTGCCACTGAGCAAAAAGTGCCTGATTTTCAGGGAGAGCCAGGCACAGCCGGCGTCAAAGACAATCTTGTGCTTATCTAGGGGCGTCCCCAGCCCAGTCCAAATGAGCAATCACTGCAGTGTGAAGTAAACAAACAGCTCTTTACATGGTTGTGAATATCAAGAAGGCTGTTGTGTTGCAGCAGCATTACGCAATGTTAGCTTATGCAAAGGCAGGTAGAACACATCAATATGCATCTGTACACTAAGAGTCATTCACCCCTTCCTTTATCGTAACTGATATGGCTCTAACTTGCAGGAACCCTCTGAAGGCATAACATTACCTCAAGACAATCACATCCGGCACGGGGCCACACTCACCTGGTCAAGGTACTGGGGGAGAAGATCAGCCAGCAACTGAGATGTGTTCTCGCTGATCTCCGACGGCTTCACCACCACGGCATTACCTACAAGACAAATGCAGCATGGCCGCTGAGCTCTCACGGTGCGGCACCCATCCATGGCCCCACGAAGGACAGGGGCTGTGGCAGGTCCCCACCTGCTGCGATGGCCCCGATTAAAGGATGGATAACCAGAGCAAAGGGGTAGTTCCAGGCCCCGATGATCAGCACCACCCCCAGTGGCTCAGGGAAGATGTAGGCTTCATCCCGCATTGTCAGCAGGTTCTTCTTCACAGGCTGAGGGGCTGCCCAGGACTTCAGCTTGTCCATGACGAGGGCCAGCTCTCCCAGCAGGCCCAGGATCTCATGGCAGTATGCATTGGGCTCACTCTGCAAAGACAGGGAGCTTGGGGAGGGGATGGCAAAGGCACTCACCCCACCATCCCAGGGAAGCAAGGCAAATTCTGCTGCTTCAAAAGTGTCTGATGCAGGCAGTGCTGCCCCAAAGGATCCCTGACAGAGGACAGTCTGGGTGCATGGGGCTCAGGGTGCGGCAAAAGCCAGGACCTGCCTCTGTAATCCTGCCTTAGACTAGCTCCTTAGAAATGGTGGCAGCAAACCTTGGCAGGACATGGTGAGAGCCAGGACCATGGGAGACATGAGCCAAAGACATGTCGCACGGCAAAGGCAGCCCTTGGCCTTCCCGCTTTCCCTTCCAGGCTGACCACTGTCTGTGCACGGCTGATAGGAGAACCCCATTGACCCAGACCTTGTGCAGATCTGCCCTGATGGCTGCCAGGATGTCCTTCTCTTTCTCCTGCACCATCCGCTTCAGGGCCTTCAGCTGCTGCATCCTGAACTCCAGCGCGCGGCTCCGGCCAGAGTTGAAGGCAGCTCTCGCCCGCCCAACGACCTGCTGCATCCTCTCCATGGCTGCTCAGCACTGCAAGGAGAGAGCAACACCACCCAGCTCACTTCAGGGCTTCCTCCTGCAGGTGGGAATGGGTTTTCCCCTCCAGCACTGGCCATGGAATCACAGAATCATTAGGGTTGGAAGGGGCCTCTGGAGATCATCCCTTGCCAAGGCAGGGCCACCCAGAGCAGGTTAAACAGGAACGTGTCCAGGTGGGTTTGGAATGTCTCCAGAGAGGGAGACTCCATAACCTCCCCCCCGTGCGGCCTGTTCCAGTGCTCTGCCACCCTCCGTGTAAAGTTCTTCCTCATGCTGAGGCGAAACTTCTTTTCTCCCTCATCTGCCCACTGCAACCCCACCTCCCGGCTCCAGGGCTGGTGTCTGCTCTCTTTCAGCCCTAGTTCCGCCGTATCCTCCTCAAACCCACAGTGATGCGCTGCACGTTGTGATTCTGAGCAGCACCAGCAGGCAGTAAGCGGCAGTGCGCAGCAGGGGCGCCGGGCGGAGCCGAGGGCCGGCAGCCTTCCCCGCACCCCGGCACCGAGCGCAGGGACCCCGAGCCGGCTCCTCCAGCACCAACCCGCGCACCGCCGGCCTAGCCCAGACGAGCCCCCCGCCGCCGCCGCCCCCGGTCTCACCCACGTCTGCTTCTGGCTGCGCCGCGCCCTCCACCCCTCCCGGCGGCGCAATGGGAGAGCCAGCGAGGGGGACCGCACCCCCTCCGGCGGGCGCAGAATGGAGGCGGCCGCGGCGCTGCAGCAGCAGCAGTGCATCTGTCCCCGACCCCGCCGGTACCGGACTGCTCCTCTGCCCCCCCTACCCCGTACGGCCCGGACCCCCCAGCTCTGTTCCCCCGATAGGGCCTCGGCCCCGTTTTGTGGCCGCAGGAGAAACGAGCGTCTCCGCGGCGGCGGCTGGAGAGGGCTTCGCTACCGGGCAAGTTGGTTGCAGCCGTGTCGGTGCCTACGGAGGAAGCGGCAGGAACCAGAGCAGCGTCCATTAGCGGCAGGCAGGCGCTTAGCGAGCACAAGAGAGGAAGGAGGTTGTTTGGCAAGAGCGCAAGTTAAAGGGGAAAAGAGCAAAAGACCAGAGCAGGGTGAAGAGCGTGAGCTGGGCAGGGCTCCCGGTACCTCGATCCCCCGGTACCTCGATGATCCTGCCGCTCAGGGCTTCTCCTTCCCTCCTGGTGCATCCGCTGCAGTGACCGCTTTGTAGGAGCTCCCCCGGGCTGGGGGCGGGACTGGGCATAACCCGCGGTTGTGAAACGCCGACAGATCTGGGGTAAAGGAGCACGTTGTGCGGTATCGGGGAAACAAAGTCTATCATGAGGGTGTGATACAAGGAAAGCAAGTGCCTGGAAAACATAGGGTTAAAATACTTTTAGCTTAATTAAGTCTAAGATAGAGAACAATGTTTGCATTGTAAGTTTGTGGTGTGTAACAGAATTCAGTAGCCCTACTAACATGAGTGAATTATTCCTTAAGCATCCTTCTACTTACCAGTTAGTTTGGAGACACTGCCTCCCTAACACCCGCTAGCTTCGGATACTCCTTGTCTGCCTGTCCTGTATTGCTTGCAGTAAATTTTGTACAAAGGCCATACTGTTTTAAACTGGTAGCTATCAGAAAGTGACAGATGTGGTTAGTTTCTGCTAGTTTTGTGATTACTGAGGCATCCAACTGTGCCAAAGGTGAAAAGTGCAGTGAGGAAGACTGCTTACTTCATCTTGAAGTCCCCTGCCCACGACCACTGCAGGGCAGTGCACAGGCACCAAAAGGAGGAGACTTAGGATGATAAGTTCCTACATTTAATTGCAATAACCCCAACGCTCTCTCGGGAACCTAATGAATATGCATATTTGTATGTAACAAATATCTGCTTGCTTAACCCCTCGGTGTGCAAGTTAGGAGGAGTGATCCCCTTTGCACTGGGGGCTGTAATAAACATACCTGCTTTATAACTCCTTGAGTTCTAGAGTCCGATTCCCTGCAGAGCAAGCACTGCACCCAGCACCTCGGCTTTTGCGCAGCATTTCTGAGCTCGAGTGCTAGTGAAGAGATCCCAGCATCCTGCCAGCAACGGTTGGGAAAGAGAGACCAGGACCAAGGAAAACCAACCAGCACATGAAAATGCAGGTGGTGGCCTGTAGGAGGGAAAGCAATCGACAGGAATAGCCTGGCCAGGACAGTTGAATTGACCTTGATACAGCACTCGCATGGGAAACGAGCCAAGAAAAGGCAGGGAAATGAGGAGGCAAGGCTGGGCACATTCCAGTTAAAAACAGCCATGTTACAGCTTGCTCTGGGAAGTCACAGAATCATCAGGGTTGGAAGGGATGGCTGGAGATCACCCAGTCCAACCCCTGCCAAGGCAGAGCCACCCAGAGCAGATTACACAGGAGTGGCTCCAGGTGGGTTTTGGATGTCTCCAACCAGGGAGTTCCACAACCCCCTTAGGCAGCCTGTTCCAGTGCTCTGCCCCCCTCAATGGAAAGCAGTTCTTCCTCATGTTGCAGTGAAACTTCTTGTGTTTTAAATTATTACCATTGCTCCTCAGCCCGTCACTGGGTACCACTGAAAGGAGTCTGGCACCATCCCCCTGGAACCCAGACCTGCATTGATGAGATCCCCTCTCAGTTTGCTCTTCTATAGACTTACCAGGCCCAGCTCCTACAGTCTCTCCTGATGAGATGCTCCAGCCCCCTGATCATCCTTGTGGCCGCCAGGAGACCCTCTCCAGTACCTCCTTGACTTTCTTTTACTGAGGAGACCAGAATGGGACACAAGGCTCCTGTGTGGCCTCACCAGGGTCAAGTAGAGGGAGAGGAATCACCTTCCTTGACTTGCTACCAAACTCCTCCTGATGCATGCCAGGATATTCTTGTCCCTCCTGGGTCAAGGGCTGGCTCCTAGTCAACTTACCATCCACCAGTACTCCCAGGTTCTTCCCAGCTGAACTACTTTCAGCTGAACCTGTACTGGTAACGAGGTTCTTCCTCACCAGGTGTATGACTTGTTGCCCTTATTGAACCTCATCAGGTTTCTTTCTGCTCAATTCTCCAGCCTATCAAGGTTCATGCTGAATGACAGCTCAACTTCAGATGTATCAGCCACTGCCCCAGCTTCATATCAGCAAATTTGCTTCCCAGTATATCACTGCCATGTATCCCCATTGGTGCTGCTTTCCCACAAAGCAGTGTGTCATGTCCCTGTGTTCCCCCCAAGGATGTCTCCTTCTGCACTGCTCCCTGGCACAGCAGGCTCAGGGTGGGTGCTACAGGGTGCTGGGGCAGCATCTGGCATGTGCCACCCATGTCCTCATGCCCCTGAGGGGTGTCAAGGTCTGACCGGCGAAAAACCCTGTGTCAGAAATACTTTGTTCGTGATTGCCAGAATGAAATTAAGATGTGAGGTCAAGTACCATAATCCATTGGTTTATTACAAAAGAAGATTATTATAGAAAAGACAGCAATGGGACAGACTAGAAGAAAGGACAGAAATTAGGCAAGAATTGAGGGTGCAGAGAAGGACAGTCACCACTGTCCCAAGTCATCATCTTCGGTGGTGGGTGTCCCCTAGAGTCAGTATCTGTCATCAGAGGTGGGTGGCCACATAGTGATTACCTTTTCCCCCTTTGAATTATGTGTGGGGGGAATATCTCTGTCCTTAATCTCAAGTACTGTACATTCCTGGTGGATCAGGTGCATCCACTTTCATTGGTCTTGCAGCCAGCTCTTCAACTGCAATCAGCAATCATGGAGATATGGGATGGCAATTCTGCACACTAATCCTTGAGATAACTGTGGAGTCTGGACTGTGGAGTCTTGTTGCAGCTCCTCACATTCATCTCTCAGATAATGGACGTCAGCTTCTCATACCAATCTTTGAGACAATGGGCAGCCCCTCACCCAGCTGAATGGAGCTGTGGGATGGGATGGCATGTGCCTGCTGCACGCAGTGTCATCAGGCCGCTTGCTGGGGACCCTGCAGAAGACCCTCAATGCTGGGCAGGGGAAAGGACAAGCGAGAGCACATCACGCAGACAGTGATCATCCACCACGTGGTGAACATCGAGAAGAGAGTCAAACTGTGCTGACCACTGTGGACACACCAGGCTTTAGTGGTGCTGTCAACACCACTGACTGGTGTGCGCTGTGGGGCTCTCCGCAGGGCTGAGCAGCACCACCGTGGGTGCCAGCAGCTCCGAGGGTGGGATGCCCATAGGTTGTCAGTCTGCAATGCTTGAACCACGGCAAGCATTGAGCTGGGGATCCTGGGAATCCTGGGGATCCCACAGGGAACTCAAGCAGTCACACCCCTGTCCCCACAACTCAGCTCTCTGAGCCAGTGGTTGACTACATGGACTACCAGTTCAAGCAGTATTTCCGTGATGAAAGTGGCCTCAACAGGACAACCATGTCCACTGCTGCCTCTATTTCATCTCACCTTTTGGCCACAGGTACAAGCAACTTCTGCCTGCACAGCCAAAATGAGGGGTGCTGGGGAAGGGGCCTGAGGGAATGGTGCTCACTGCACTCACCCCACAGCCTTTGTTCCCTGGGTGTGGACTTCATGAGGGCCCTGCACCAGCAGGTGAACACCAAGCTCCTACTGGGCAAGGCAGCCTCATGTGAGCATGTTCCATTTGCATGGTCTCCTTCAACTCTCTGATAGCTTCCTCTGCCTGTAAAAACATTCAGAAGAAAGAGCATTTACAGACCTGCTTAAAACACACACCATAGAAGAGACACTTGAAGACAACACCTCTGAGCAGAAGCTGATTTTGCCAGAAAACGAACCTGCTGTTTCGTGCTCATGTGGTTTGACAGAGTAGCGAACATCCTGCATGGCTCACTCTATAAGGATCGCTGTGTACGGCCTCTTTGTTTCAGGAGTCGCACATTTGTGTCCACATCTGCTCCAGCTGTGTCATTGTCAGATACCTACGGCTCTCCTGTTGACGAAACTGAACAGAAAAAGTAACAAAGCCAGTTAAAAAACATCACAGGGTTAAGAGCAAAACCTCACACAATGCAGTTAAATTTAACAATTGTTTGCATTATTCTGTTAGATGGGAAGTGCAGAAAAAGGATAACCATATTAATAATGTCCATCACTGTAACAGACAACACTGGAAAGACTTCAGACAAAACACCCACCTACAGAAACACTAAACTACCAAAAAGGAAGTGTACATTGACTTGAGTTCTCATCACCCATTACAAGGCCACAGCTTGGGTCTCACCAATGAGGAATGACCAAGAAATTAAACCTGTTAACACACAATGGGGCTGTCCAAAGAAAGCAACAGTCCCCTTCCTCTCGGAGCTTTTATAAAGCCAAGGGCATGGTACCTACTGCCTTACAGACTTCTGGTTGGTTGCGTCTTCCTTCTTCCCCACCTGGCTTTGTGAAACGTTCACTAACACCGTGTGTGCCTGCAGGACCCTGCCGAGGACTCGCTCGCTGGAGATGGGGGTTAGAACCCGTGTGAAGCCACCTGAGAGCGAGCTCACGGCGCCGTCAGCGGGAACGAGCGAGTCCCACTGCCCGGGGCTGAACCGGGGGAGCCCGGGAGCTTCCGCGACCCGCGTGTCACCACCGCCAGGGCAGGGGCACCGCACAGCCCCGAGGCGCTGCCCCTCTCCGGCTCTCACACGGGGCTGTCCCCGCCACAGCCGGGTCCCCCCACGGGTCTCCCCCCCTTCCCCAAGAACGTCCCCGCGCTCGACCCCGGCGGTGCCGCCGTCACTCCCGCTCCGCTGCGCCCTCCCAGGACCTTGGTGCGGTAGCGGCGATCTCGCAGCGCTGCCGCCGCGCAGGGCCCGCACCACGGCCCCGACAGGGAAGCGGACGCGGTGCGTGAGGGCGGGCACGGACATGGCGGCGACAACGGCTCCCGCCCCCCCAAGGCTGCTTTCTCCGCCAGGCGGCGGTGGCGCCCCTCCCGGTCGCTGCTCGCTCACGTCCGCGGGCACGTCCTGACAAGGGCTTGGGGCTGCGCCCTGCCCTGCCCCGTCCCGTCCCGACAGGAGCGGGAATCCCGGCGCTGTTTGCCCCACGCTGCGGGGCTGCTCACACCTCTGACCATGGGGCTCGTTCCGGCCGTCCATAGAGAGCTTCATCACCTTCCTCCTCCTGGTCAGATGGCCTGTAGTAAACCCCCACAGCAGCGTCCCCCAGGTTAGCCTGGCCCTTAATTCTCACCCGTCAACTCTTAACTGGGTAAAGCTCGACACCTTCCACTTGCTCTCACGTGAAGAGCAGCTCCACCACCTCGCCTCTCTGACCTGGCCTTTTTAAAGAGCACACAGCCACCGGGGACAACATTCCAGTCGTGGGACCAGGTTGCTACACACTCCTGTGCCCGGCATGCTCTTACACTGACTGTTTGCTGCTACTGAGACATCCCACCATGTCTCAATCATTGCAATGAGATCATGGCCCTGCAACCATGCACAGATTTCCAGCTCATCTTGTTTATTCCCCATACTCCAGTGTTTGTATCCCGGCACTTCAGAGAGGCAATTTCACAGCCAGGTTCCCCAGACGAGTGTGAGAGGATTCACCATGAACATAAACAGCCTCAATCTTGTTAGGCCTTTGATCCTCATCTTGAGAGGCACTCAAGGAACATCTGTCCCTGCACTGGCTGGTATGATCTACCCCCCCAGTCCTTCAGTTTAAAGCCCATCTCACTGAAGATTCTCTTTCCCCTTCTAGACAGATGGATCCCATCCCTCCCTAACAGCCTACACTCACTGACGCATGACCCACTGTCATGAATGCGAGGGTACGTTTTTGAATTTGGGAATTACTCCCAGGTTGTTACACACTCCTGGTTCTGACATGCTCTTACACAGACTGTTTACTGCTAATGCTGCTCAGCTGAAACTATGCCCAACTAAATCCCTGCCTGCAACACACAGGGCCATGTGCTCATGCCCAAGAGATGGAGCAAGCATGGAGTACATGCTCTCCCCTCAAAGTTTCATGACATCTCCCCAGCTCTCCAAGGCAAGGGGGTGCCTCTTAGCTCAGCAGTTTGCACCTGAGCCACAACTCCCCCCAGATACAAAGCTTGGCTTTCATAAAGTCATTTGGCTTTGCTAACAACTCGTGGGCTGCAGCTTAACCAGCATGTGAACATTTCACAAGCTATTGCACAAATCTCAGCAGTAAACAGCCTGCTGTGGAAAAGAATGACAAGAGCAACTGCCAATACTGGCATGCAGGAGGCAGCATGTGAAAGAAAAACAGGCTGGGCTTGACAGGGCCCTTGAACTTGGTTATTTGGAAAGGAGCTGGGTTTTGCATTCAAGGATACAGGGGTAAGGAGAACTGGGAACATTCCTCACATGGGCAGTACCCAATGCAAACATACTCGCCTTAATTCTGTTCGCATCCTTGCAGGCAGAGCTCTGTCCAGGCACCAGGCACCATGCTGTCTGGAGGTCCAAGGAAAAATTAGATAAGGAATTAATTTTACTCTGAAATCAGAGTAAAAAGATCTCTGAGCATGGAGTATTCCACTGCCCCTGGGGAAATAATGCAATGCATCCTCAGTGCACAGCAAGCCCAGCAGGGGATGTCTGCTGGAGCAGGGTGATTTACCTTTGTTTTCTGGAGTAGCCATTCTCCAGAGCCTGGAAAATTCTCATCCTTCCGCATGAGGGTCATCATGCCACAGCAGCACTTCTTGTGCTTGGTGTCACGTCCCAGCTCATCTCAGTGGCCAGCAGGCTGGTACAGTGCCTCACTTTCGCGGAAACCTGGCAGCAGCGTGTTCCAACCTGGTAGATGATCCCTCTTAGTCCTTCCTTGTCAGGGACACCTTTTAGCAAATTATGGACAGAAAGCAAGGCTGAGGGTATTTTAAGTGTCACAAAATATCAGTTGAGTCCCCCTGTAGCAGCTGGGCAAGACACGTGGATTTCAGCGAATCATGGGATCTTGAATGAAATGGAATAATACCCCAGACAGCACCCAGTGAAATGCATGGTCTGCAGCGTGCTCCCCACGCCTGGGAGCTGACAGTGTCTTCTATTTTTATTTAGTCACTAGGAAACAAAGGGAACTATTTATGGGGAAATTGAACTCCAGAGGAATCAGGAGGTAAGCAGCACTGGGGGTGCTCTAGTGGGCTACACTTGCAGCAGCAAGAGATATTTCAGTGAGAAGAGGAGCTTGAGATTCTCCTCTCCACTCTATTCCTCACAGCCCTGTGCTTTCACCCCCCTCATGGAGTCAGGGATAGCAAGGCAATGCAGTGTGACAGGCTCTAGGCCTGGGGAGCATCCCCTTGTACTATTCCTTGCCCTGCTCTCAAAAGCATCATGGAGAGCCAGGGGAAGAACTCTGGTTTAGGAGGTAAACTGTGCAGTTTCAAGAGTCCACCAAATAACACAGCTAATCAAGAAATGGTTTTAGCTCACACACCACGCTTACAGAACTTCAAGTTGTAAGCCAGGCTGAGAATCCTCAATTTCTGCTTAAACATCTACCTAGTCTCAAGTTCCAAGTATTTTCCAAAGTTACGCAATCTGGCCAGTGGCACAAGACCGGCAGAAACAGAAGCCCAAACAGCACTCAATCACAAAAGCAGGTACAGAAGATTAACAACAGGGAGAGGTTTTAAGGAACCTACATGAATAAATGCAGCTTAGTTCATTTATGGCATCACTTGTTTTGAAAGCTGTGGCTGATCTCACATTTGCGAGAACAAGATACTGTGTCGTATAGACCCATGGTCTGTGGGCTGCATTGTAGACATAGCTGGGGCCATGGAAAATGTGAAAGCCACACAAAGAAACAATGGAAATGATTGGCACAAAGACTGCAACAAGACTCAGCAGCACCACTGGCACTTGGTTTGCTTTCAGCCAAAGAGGAGGGGGGAGCCTGTCGCATACAAAAGCCTATTGAAAAGGTGTTTGTCCGAAGAAGCAGTGCCAAGACTTGGTTAGACTGGGCTCCAGCTGACTTACAAACCTCAAGAAAGGGGTTACGAGATACACTTCTCTGATCTACAGAAAGAAGGAGCTACGTGGGAGCTTTTTAACAAGTCACAGCCAGGGTTATGGCTCAGGTTGGACAGGGAAGTTCAGGCTAAAAGAATTTTTGCTTGAAGACTTAAAGGCATCCTGGACAGTCAGAAAAAAAGATAGTAGGAAGCAGAGTTCAGAGCAGACAAAGGAGTCAAAGGATCCAAATTTAATAAAACAGACTAGGAGAGGAAGCAGGAAACCAAAAGGAGGTGGGTCACAAGCCAGGTCACAAGCCAGCCTATCTGAATTTCAAAACCTCCACAAGCTGTGAAAGCAGCAGTATCCCACTTTACTTGCTGTAGAGATAAAAAAAGGAAACTTCCCTCTTCGGTACAGCTGGGCTGTGCATGGCACAGTGCTGTGACACCAGTGGATCACAACTGCTACTGCCTCTGAACCCAGAGGTGACAATGGCAATACCTGGATATGGCTGTAGCAAGAACTATGCAGAACCTAGTGACTCCCAAGAACAATTCACACCTCTCAACTGAAAAATGCTTTTCAATACTTTGTAGTATCTTAGTTGCATGTTAAATTACCTGGATTTCATCCACTGTATCAGAGGAAGGGCTCACGGGGAGTTCAACTTCTTGCTTATAAAAAGCAGCAAATGTCAGAATCAAAACATGGTTTAGATTCTTCAGCCTATATTATACACTGTGGAGAGAGTGGAACAAGTACAGAACATGGTGCTCTTGAGTAGATGCTAGAGAGCTGAACTAGAAAAGCACATCCAGTATCTCCTTTCAAGTTCTATCAAAGGCTGAGAAAAAAGTGTGTGGTAGAAACAAGCACCTGCTATTCAGCACAGAGAGCTGAAGACAGAGGACAGCTTCAGGATCTTTGTAGAATGAGTTTATGCAGAAAGACAGGCCATGAACATTGGTCCCCTCCTCCTGAAAACAGCGAACAAGAATAGGCCTTTTCTTCCTCTCCTGTTTGTGCAGCTGTAGTCTTGCTGGCAAGAGTGGATGGAGAATGAGCTTGAATCCTGAGGAAAAAAAGAAAGGCAACAAAAACCAGTGGGTTCCTGGGAAAAGCCGCCTATCTCCTAGACTTGTGCATTAAGGCTTTTGCTTTGTTTCTAGATCTGTGTTCAGACATATCATTAGCATTCCCTGCTCACTTCTTCCTCATCCTCTTCATGTGCTAGTCAAAAAGCGTAGGGATAATTAACTGGGAGATGGTACAACTAAAGAACACAACAGCCACACACAGGCTACCACAGCACACCTTGGCTGGGGAGAGGATACTGGTTACAAGGGGGCAAAACCTGTTTTTTGTAAAGCTTAGATAGAAATTGTAACTTACTGCCAGTTTTTGTCAATCCGCTCTCTATACGCTGTTTTGGCAGCCCAGACAGCTCTTCTTTACTAGAGGCAACAACTAAGCACCTTGTTGAAAGAACATACAGCTGTTACCCAGGAACCTACTTAGCATATTTGTTTTCAAATCCAAGTTTAAAAGAATAACTAAAAAAAGCAGGGTAAATTGTTTTGCTGAAGCCATGGAAAACAAACTCAGGGACACTTTGTGCCAGAGCTATCCAGAGATAACAAACTTGAGCAAGTTGCCCCATCCTGCCCTGGTGGCACATCCAAGCGCTAAGGGGAACATTCAGCAACTGGTTTAACCAGCCAAGTACAGGCTGGTTTAACACCACTGGCTTTTGGTTATAGAGACACAGAAAGTCAGTTTTACCATAGAAACACTTCTAGTGTCAGTATTTATTTTTACCTTAATATACATTTATACAGGCCATAATAAAAAGGCTATTTGTTACGCAACAGTTCAGTGAGTTATTACCTAGTTTCAAGAATAATGCATGCAATTACAAAGGAGAGGTAGAAACACCGTATTAAAGACCTAAAAATACAAACATTATATAAACAAACACTTTCAAATTAACTGTTGGATTTTCATACAGATAAATAAGGTAAAAAGTACATTACTCTGTCAAAGTAAAGGAAACACATGGTTATCCAAACACTGAAACAGTATTTTGATGTGTAAGCCCTGTACAACTTTGTCAAATAATTCAGATCACTGTGTTTAAGAGGATTAAAATGATTTTTGTCCTGGAGAATGGTTTATTCAAGTATTCAAGCAGCTGAGTAACAAAAAAAAGTCCCCAAGATAAAGTATAGGAACCATTTCCAGAGAAGCTGATCTGCCTAAATACTTTGCAAATCACTGCCCTGATGATCTCATGGGATGCTTGAAATGATAATGCCTATAAGGCTAAATGAAGCTTCCCACCTCTCCCCTAGAATGCACACATAATAATCCTGATTTTTCACACACGCTGTATGTAGATATTCTACATCAAGTTATCAGCATCTCAAACTCCAACATTATTTTCTGGTTTTGCATGGTTCCTTGCAGAACCTTTCAGTTTACAGTATTTCTTGTAATACTGCCCAAGAAACAAACTACAGAGAACTGTCATTACATCCCTAGAGACTGCAGGCATTAATGCACGTATTGCATGCACAATAAAAGATGCAACCAAATCTATATAAAAAGCAAACAACCAGCAACTCAACATTGCTATTACTGAGAAAAGTCCAGACCAGTAGTTACTCAAGTATTAGACAAATAGGTATAAAATGGAAAGGCTCACATGAATACAAGTTTTTACAGTTTGTCTGAAAGTCTTCTAGAAGCTACATTTGAAATTCTGAAAAGAATTTTATGTACACTGAAATGAAATTCAGCCAAGTCCATTGTGCCTTCTTTCTCTAATTTTTTAACATAGTTCTTCAAAAATGAATATACAGTTGCTTTAGTAAATTAGTGCAAAACAAAATATTTTGGAAGAAGATCATCAAATTGTATCCACATCAGCTGAAAACCCACTGGGGATGTTACACAGATGGAGCACAATTTCTTCCATGACCATCTTTCCCCTGTGTAAAGGAGCACTTCCTCGTCATCCCTTCATATAACAAGCTGAGCCACGTTTACAACATGTGAGCTCCAATACAAGCCAGCTTAGCCCCTTCAATCAGCACTTGCACATAGTTAGGGTTTCCCAAATCCACTCTGCCACATTTTACTGACAACTTAAAAATATTTTTCACAAACATTTGAGGGAATCTTCCGAGGGAAATGTCTTTTTGTACCTGATGCAGAAGGATCCACTCACTATAAACCTCATGAGGAAAAAAAAAAACACCCAAACCCCTGATCATTCAAGTCCAAAGCACACGTACAAGGATCAGTTTGAAATGTGAAGAGAGACTCTTAAATTCTGTTGCTAGGAAGAAAAAGGAGCTGCTGGATCAGTAAGGCAAGTGTACTTTTGGAATTTCTCCTCTTTGAATAATGCTGCTGTTTCTTTGGTAGTCACCACAGAAATGAAAGAATCATCTTCCACACGGGGCAGAACAAGAACAACAATTAAGCTGTAGTGAAAAAAGTGCAGTATCACTGATGTGGTCCCGTATGTTCACACCATCTGGTCCTTGGGATATTTCTACTGCTCATATACAGCCACTGTACTACAGCAAAGTGCAGAAAGCCTTCGCTCAATGCTAGATTTATCTGCAGAGAGAGGTGACAAATAGGTGATGACTCCAGTGTTATTTTACAATGCATTAATTCCATGCAGTTGTCAATATTTTCATGATTCAATCTGAACTTACACTTGTGTACATTTTCTATATCTGCAGGGTCTTGCAGTATTTTAGTCAGTCCTTCCAGCAGCAAGGCTGCCTTGTGGTATCGATATGTAATATCTTCAGTTTGCTGAAACATCTCATCCAGAGCTGCTGACTGAACCTGCAATCATTCAGAAGATTCAGTTACATAAACTGCGTCAGGCAAATAATGAAACGAAAAATTCAAATGGAATGATTTTTGAACCTTAATGTAGCTGATCTGTTTTTATAACTGTGAGATAACAAAACAAAGTCTGAGAGAATACAGCACCTGTGCTGTATTAAGTGTATTCTGCACATATAAACTATAACAGCACTTTCTGATCTTTTTGGTTTACATGTGTTACAACAACACGTGAATAAATATGCTTGTTCTTACACCTGCATTCTCTTGCAAAGAAGACAATTTGTGCATGACCGCACCATTATAAGGGTTAACCACAGTATTTGCCACTGTCTTGCGTGTGACACCTGTGCTAAAAAGACTTCCCTCTCATCACAAAAGCAGTTAAGTTCCTTGTGTGGTTACTGCCTCTGCTCCATAACAGATAAACAGTTTATCAATTACACAAAAAAAGCTTCCACGTTTTTTCCTACTGTTTTTGCTTTGTATGGACAGGCTGATGTTCTTCAGATTAATCTGGTAGATTGATGAAGCTACTTCTGTTGCTTCTGTGCTTTACTAAGCCTTATTGGAGGAGACTGCAGCACACAGAGCTGTGTGGCTTAGGAGTTCATTTCCTAGTGGTTTTGTACCAAATGTGCTGATGTAGCGGAAATGTCCCTGAGGAGCAGTATCTGCCAGGAACTTTATAGCCACAGTTAAGGCAGGGCAGGAAAGAGAGTGAAAAACTAACAGAGATTACCATGAACAGAATGCTGGAAACATACATTCTATTTTCTGGTGATGCAGAGAGAAGGAAGCAATTAATCTTAATATCCTATCATTTAGGTAAAAGGAGTAACTTAACCATTTCTACAGCACAGCTGTAGATGAGTTTCTCTGCAGTTACACTGTTGATTTCATCAATGAACCTCTGCTTGTCCGAAAAGAAACGATTCAACTTTTCAGTCAGTTTCTTGCACATGCCAATACAGAACTTGTATCTCTCATTGAGGCTTTTCACAACTGGAGGAAAGGTAAGAAGAAATTAAAACAAAATAAATCAACCAAACAGCATAGCCTAAATTCAGGTCTTCCCAGCACTAGCAAAGTCAATCTGTTTAAACTTGAGCTTTTAATGTTTATTTACTTCTACAAATTAGATATATATCAAATTTTTACTTCTACAAATTAGGTATATATCAAATAATTTCCATTTCAAGTTAGTAATTGCCCATTTCTTAATAGTTTCTAGCTGTACCTTTGTTTATTATCCGAACTGTGCAATCATACATTATCTCTTGTACTGAAGAAAACAAACATGTTGTAATTTAAGCTTTCTGAGTGACCTATCAGTGAAGAAAATTCACAAGCAAAGCAAACTAGATTATGTTGCATCTACCTTGCTTAACAGCAGTGGATGGGTTCAGCTTCCCCGATTTGACCTGTGCTTTGGCAAGATGCAGAGAAGATGCGAGCAGCTGGGCAGCTTTCATGTACAACACCAGCTGCTCTACTTGTCTAGGGAGGGGGGGAAAATAAGTAATTATGTACCAACACACCTTTTTTGAACACATTCAAGCCATGGGCAGACACCACTTTAAATCACAGCCCTACACAGGACCCAGCAGCAGCAGAAGAGGAAGACAGATGTTTAAAATGCAACTCCACCCCTCCCTTCCCTTCACAAACAGGCTGTCACGGGTTGAAGAGTACATCTGCTCATCTAGTAGCTGCAGCAGCAAATACAAACTGCTTTAATGTAGACATTTTAAAAAAGAACACTTATTTGTGAGGACTAAATGCCCGAGGTCAACGTCTTACCACAAGTGACTGGGTGTACTTTTCTTGCAGTGTCATTTCCTATGCCCCTGGAATTCTCAGTTGTGAAAAGCAAACACTTTGCAGGGCATTTTTGTTGCTCCCCCCCCACCCCTCCCCCTCCCCGAAAGCAAGCAGGAAGTGGAACTGCCCTTTCCCACCACTCCAAAATTCTCGTATTTCTCTTTGATTTTGTATTAGGGCTGATCAGTCCCACTGGAAAAAAAGGTCAAAGTTGGACACTCCTTCCTCTTTCCCAACCTCCACCACAGTGCTACTGCTTCAGCCCAGTCAACACAAACAGATGAGGATTCAGATCTGACAGATGCTGATACACAGACTCCTAAGGTTAGAAATGCAGGGCTGTACCTCAAGCCTGAACTCTTCACCATTTCCCCAACTTATGTGGCATGCTAGAAAACACTTCTTTTTTATTTGTCTGCTAGCAAATGTTTCTCTATCCTTTGCTCTTTCTCATTTGTCTTCATTGCTAAAAACTTATTCCTATAGAAGATTCTAGACAGCAAAACACTCTCAACAAAACGGGCATAGTTTGCATACATTTTGGATGTATTC